CAATATAAATCAAGAAAATCAAAAAGGGCATATCATACCAGATTGCTAAAAAAAAGTGATAACTATGGAAGCTTCAAAATAACCAGAAAGTTTATAAACATTAATTACATCTGGGTGATGTCAGTGACTGATGTCAGTCACTTCCTCCATAAAGTGGGGCGGGGGAGTAAAGCTGTAAAAATTGTCAAAATTCTCTGAATTTCCCTCCTGTTCTGTTCTGCTCTGTTCTGTTCCATTCTGTTCCATTATAACCATGAAAATCAGCAGCCCCACAATCATGACAAAACCAGCAACTGAGCGCCCACCTGGGAAGCATTAGTGTGGGGCTGGTGCTCCCCTAAAGATCTGTGATAAAAATGTTTCACATTTGATCTGACAATTTCCTATTTAATCCCACCATTTGTCTTTTCTTTTGCAATTGACAAACACTATATATATTTATTGCATAAAAAACCCAAGGCTCACATATTGTATGATTTCATTTACATAAAAAGTCCAGAACAGGTAATTCTATAGAGACAGAAAGATTGGTGGTTGCCCAGGGAGGGAGGAGACAGGAGGTTGGGGAGCCAGCTAAAGAATGTGAGGTTTAAGACAGATTTAAAATGTTTTAGAATTAACTGTGGTGACAAAGAATTCTGTGAATACTAAAAGCCATTGTACACTTTACACAGGTAGACTGTACACCATGTGAATTATATGTTAACAAAGTCTTTTAAAAGAACACACAGAATCAGACAGCAGGTAAAATGGGCATAGTTATGTTCCAATAAAATTCTACTTATACAAACAGGCAGTTGATCAATGAACCATAGTTTGCTGACCACTGTTATAGAATAATAAAAACATAATCTCTCAGCTTCTCTTTCTGCACCCTCACCCCCCACCCCTCACCCACTCCATGAGCTATGCCCTGACTTAATAGAAAAACAAATACTATCTTTTCCACTTGTCTTGCAGATGTTTGCGCACAACTTTTGGGTTTTGTTCTTAAATGGAAGAGTTGTGATTTTGTTTGAATTTCTTAGTCCTTCCTGTTCACTACAAGTAGTCATTCTAGATCATGAAGTGACTTTAGAAAACAGAAGGAACATATCGAGGGCCTGTAATCCTCACCACACAAATCACCACATTAAACCTAAATTGACATCATCTAGACTTCTTGAAAAAAAAATACATTTATGTGTATAAAATTACATTGACTTTTTAAAATTTTTGAGCTCACAATTAAAGCTAATTCCAACTACTATAACCCTAATAAAACAGCTCTGCTTCCTGGAAGTGCCAATTGGATGTTATAGAAGGTGCAAGTCTATGTCCTTTATGTACTGGTCTCTTAAACGTGGTATCTTACAACTACTTTATTTGTCATTAATTTTATTAAGAAAAAAATGTAAGAAGATATAGTCTCTGGTTAACCAATACTGTAACTTTTTTAAAAATTAAAATTTCATAAATATAAGCAACACCACACTTCTTAATCAGAACAGTACCACCATTTACTAAGTTCCTGTAACTGCAAATTCCAGGGCCTCCTTGAAGTCCTGATGACTGGATACAAAGAATCTGTGTGGGTTTCCTTTAGAACCAGTGGTGTGTTGGCTTGCAACTGTCTCTGCCGTGCAGGCAGAAAAAACAGTCAGTCCTCTACATATCCAACTTTCCTTCATAATATTAACATTATGTCTGAAGGGCTCTAAGATTTACAAACTATCTCCAGACATCACAATATTCACTTTCATTCATAAAAGTAAGCTTTCTGTCATTATTATAATTAACTTATAAAAAGGAGAGGCTTAATCAGTTTCACAGTTTTGCAGGTTTTGGCCCATGAACCATGGGCCTACTGATTTTGGCTCTGTGGCAAAATAGTACATCATAGCAGTAGCATGCACAGAGGACAGCTATGCGCTTCATACAGGGAACTGAAAAAGAAAGGAAGAAGTGACCAGGGTTACACAATGCCTTTCAAAGGCATGCCCTCAATGACCTAACTTCCTCCCATAAGCTTCACCTCTTAAAGGTTCCTCCTTCTCCCAGTAGTGCCAAAGGTTGGCAACCAGCCATTCATATATGAGCAGCCACTGGAGAACATTTAAGGTACAAACTACAGCAGGCTGCAAAGTCATATCTCTTCCATAAAGGTGTTTCAGAATCACACTCTACTTGTACCCAGCACTTTCCATTCATTTGTTAGAGCACTTACCCCCAGTGTGGCTATATTTAGAGATGGGTCGTCTACAGGAGTAATTAATATTAAGTGAGGTCATGACAGTGGGTTTTTGATTGGACAGGATTTGTGTCATAAGAAGAAATATCAAAAAACATTCATTTATCTTGTCCCTCCACTCCTCCTTTCCTGCCTGTCACTTGTCCTCTACTCTTACTCTGTTGTTAAGCAGGCACAGAAATATGGCCATGTGAAGAAAAAGAGAAGGCAGCCATCTGCAAGATAGTATGATGGCTCCTCACTAGAAAGCAAATTGGTCAGAACCTTAACCTTGGACTTTTGGCCTCCAGAATCCCACTGTTTTGTTTGTTTGTTTTTTATCAGTACCGGGAATCAAACTCAGCGCCAGGCAGGCGCTGTGCCGCTGAGCTAAATCCCCAGTCCCTGGCCTCCAGAATTATGAGGGAAAAAAATTCTGTTGTGTAAGCCACCTAGTCTGTTATGGCAATCTAGCAACTACGTGCTCCAGAAGGATAGTATGAATTATCTTGCTTCAGCATCATTTTTCAGTTACCCTCCAATAAAATCTACTTTAACACTGGCATGGTCATAAGCTGCCTTTATGCACACTGGATCTGTGTGAAACTTAAACTTGACTTTCACTCTTATGGGTGATTTTTTTGTGTTGTTGAAGGATCCCTGCAAGGGTGCCTCTGATTCTGACAGGCTTAATTACCAGCAATACCAAATTCCTCACAACTGAGGCCTACTTGGGACTTGGGACTTTCAGCAGTAAAAGAGGAAAAGTCAGAGGAAAATTATGACAAGTAGCTCACCCTCGTTGGGTGATGCATTCTATTTCTCCAGTTATTTTTCTATCTATAGCTTTGTTGTAAAATAATCCACACCACACAGGCTTTCTTGAAATGTCATCTCCTTTCTAGGCAGTCCTTTTGGGTGTGTCAAAAAGGTCCAGGCCTCTTTCTCTTATGAAGCCCACATCTGATGGACAAGAAACACTTGAGTATCATGTGCCCTGACAAACTATGGCAGTGACAGCTGATCCCAATGTACTCTCCCTCACTCTTCTGCCAAAACTTCTCACTGGTCCATCTCCCTTACTCTTGGAATTTTCCAGATATGAGTCTGAATAGTATTGCACCTTTCAAAATAAGGGCACACTTAGCAAGTTCTCTGATAAGAAGCCCCTCTTGTTAGATTTAAAAGAAATTGGGGATACATAACAATGTCTACAAAATGCCTCCTAATGATATCATCTGTTCCAAAAAAATGTCTTTCAAGATTTAAAACTGATGAAAGTTTTCAATAATTGCAAAATCAGTTCTTGGATTGTGGTTGCCAAATTCAAGAAGCAAAACTGATGAAGGCCCCAGGTGCTGCACTAAGAAATCTTTTGCCACATTTGTACCCATGTGCTGCCATAGCCAATGATGGATGCAGTACTGATAGTAACGCAGGCTGGCTCCTGGGAGGGCTGCTCTGACAGGTGATTTTAGACTGAGGATTCACAATGACCTTGTTGATCTTCCTTAAGACTATTTAGCGGCCTAAAACACCAATCTTCCTGCCCTCTCTCCTTCACTCAGTTTCAGTGTGATATCTCTTAGAGCATCTCCTGGCTTGCTCTCATTCTTACTCATAAATGTTTTTCTAATACAATTCCCTCACATTTAATTTCATTCTAACACTTTCTCAGAGGACTTTGATTAACATAAAGATACATCTTTTGAAAACATTCACTTTTGTTAACGTCACATTTTGGTGTTGGACTTGCTGCACAATAATGCTACAGGTAAAATGTCCAGTTCAATATCTAGTTATGCTGCTAATCATGGGATGAGTGAACCATACGACAAGAGGGAACAGCAGGGAGAATATAGAATTTTACTTTACACTTCTTGTTCACCTACACCAAATTTTTGTTAAAATATGAACACAAAAGTGAAATTTGAGGAAGTTATCATTGAGTGGGTGCTGAATCTGTGAGCAGGGAAGTTGTACAGTACTTGTGAATCTACCCTTTAGTGGAAAACCAGGCTGTGCTAGGACTTTGACAAGAAGGTTGTTACATACTACCTTGAAATTCCAAAGTAAACACAGCTCCCAAATTAGCCTCTTCCCTTATCACTCTACATCTTCTGCTGATCCTATCTCATTTTTCTTGTCTGTCTTCCTACTGCATTTCTTTTGTGTCTCTGTTTAAGAGCTCACTAACAAGCAATAGTGGAAAGTGGGGCATGGGGATAGACGATGAAGCTTTGAATTCAAAACAAACTGCTTAAAACCATACTCCAGCACAAGGCCCTTGATTGGATCCCCAACACCAGCGGAACAAACCTGTATCACAAAGAGGGCAGAATAAAAAGTTTTTCGTAAATATCACAGTGGCTGCAGGTTGGGCTTGCCACTTCTTGGCCCACAGGATGCTGAGCTGAACCAAACACTTGCAGAAGTGATATAGCAGGACACCCACTGCCGGGACTTGAGCTTCCCAAAATGAAATCACTAGAAAGTAGGTAGTGTCTGGATTAGACCAGCTTCACCAAGCACTTGCACCCTTAAGTGTGCCTTAGTTTCCCCACATATAAAATAGATAAAATAGCTTCTGCCTCTTGGCGTTGCTGAAAGGATAAAACGGCATAACAATCTGCTGTTGTGCACAATGCTTGACACGCAGAAACTCATTGGTTGGCATAAGGAAGACCATGAGCCTCCCACCCTCCCCCGAGCTGCTCTAGCGACCCGCTTCCGGGTGCCCCTTCACCTCAGTCTGCCTCGGCCTAACGCGGATCCTTCCGCGCGGCGTCATTTCCGGGAGACGAAAGGACGTAGAAAATGCGGATGCAAGTGTCATGGCTGCCACCAGTAAGGACTCTCAATGGAGGTTGAGTCTAGGGTTTCCCAGATGGCGCTCCGAGCTTGGGCTTCAAGAAGGGGCGTCAAGACATAAAGGATGAGACTTCCGGACAGCAAGGTGCCCCCAAATATTTTCGGGAACTGTACTCTCTTCCTCTTAACTTGTCAAGTTTTTTTGGAGAAGTCTCCTTTTTTGGCAAGGTACGACTTCCCACCCAGCCCATCTTTGTGCTAAGATTTTGTTCCCGTTACTCTGCACCCTGTGGCTGTGCTGGCGGTGTGACTGTGTTCTGGGAGGTAGGGGCAGGCCGGAAGCTGGAACGGAGAGGGGTGAGGTGTGCGGGAGTGTCCTGGGCAGCGGAAGCTAGGGTATTTCTCCAAATGCAACCTGGAACTAACACCCCGACTGAGTACTAGCCTTTATCATTTCAGCTGAGATATTCGGAGTTGGTCGTTGTAAAGACTTTTTATTGCTGATCCAACTACATGCAACCAGTCTGATCTCTCCCAGATAGGCTTTGATTCTAGAAAATATCTAGGATGGGTATAGAGCAGCGTAGTTAAAAACAACTCAAATATAAACAAGCTGTGCTAATTTTATGTTTCACCATTAATAGACACAGTTCACACTTTGAGCCATGTGATAGTTTTCTTTAAGATTTAAATTTGGATGTGCGGTACTTGTGAGATTTTACCAAATCGTTCTTATAAAATGACTAATGAGACTAAATGAATACGGAAAATATTCAGAAAATTCTTTAATTTTGCTAGTATGCAGTTAGTTGTAACAAGAAGACACCAGAGTTGTTTCATTAAGGCTTTTAATTTCCAGAAGCTTCTGCAAATACATTAGTTCTGGGTATAGTAGTTTGAGTTTCCTCTCTGTAGGTTCCCCTTTAGGTTTTATCATCAAGTAAAACAAGAACATGTGTGAGTTGATTCATTAACTTCCTAGTAATTAAAATTACTTTTTAAGCACTTAACTGTATCTAGTATTCAGAGTTTCAGTTGAAACTTTTTATTTGCTTGAGATGTAATGAGTTGATTTGAGAAATAGTTACTATTTATAGAAACAAAATATATAAACTAATATTTAAAGCAAGTTGACTCTACAGAATAGTATTTTGTAATTTAGATTTTCACTTAAACTCCCAAAATTGAAGAGCTGACATAGAAAGGGTTAAAAGGGGAGAAAATGTAGACCTTTACCCCTTTTCTGAACATCCCATTATTTGGACAGAAAGTAACATTAGAAAGCACTTTGGATTTCTTTTTATAATTACATACCATGTACAAAGCACTAAGTTGGAAATGGATGAGAAAGTGCCTTAATATTTGTAAGTACTGTAATGAAGAACCATTATCTCATTTTTTGACCAAATTGTCTTCCCATTACATTTTAAGCTCTAGAACTTGTGTTTCTTGTGTGTGTATTATACAAGGCGTGATTGAAATATACAGTTAATATTTAAATTTAAAACTTTTATTACAGTCAAAGACACATTGCTACTACCCCCTTACAATAACTTACCCTCCACTTCAAACACACTTATCCCATTGTTCTTGCCACTTTCTGAAGCAGTTCTGGGAGTCCTTTTCCTTTAGTGTCTTTATGAGTTGTGATCAAAACTGTGGTAAATGTTGCACTCATCGAGACCGTGCTTATAAATGCATTTACAGACATTAAAGTGTTCAATGATCATAGATGGTTTGGATTCTTAACTTTTTTTGTATGGTTTCTTGCAGGTAAGTTTAGTGAGTTCTTGGTACACTACCTGGACAAAGCAGTGTAAAGGTGGAACTTTTTATTGTATTAATTAGTTCAAACATTTTAGCAGTCTACTCAGTTTTCTAATATTTCATATACCTAGATGTGGGCCTCATTTAGTTGTGGGGTAATTGAAGATAACTTTAAATTATGTTTTACTGAATGTAAAGTTTGATTTTAAGCAGTTAGCATTTATGGAGTACTCAGCATTTGCCAGTCTCTTCAGTAAGTCCTATACATACATTATCTTAATACCTAGAATATCACTGAAGTTGACTAAATTGCTATCTTAACAGATAGAATAACCAAGGCAAAGGAGTAAATTCCTTGCCCATGGTCACAGAAATAGAGCTATGTTCTTACAAACTTATCTTATGACATCTCTGTCTCACCTTAACACTTGGTAGAAGAATGAAAGTGGAACACAGACCTGAACTCTGTCTACCCTGCTTTGTGAATTGGGACAAGTGATTTAAACTCTCTGAATTTTATTTTCCTCGTACGTAATAAAAATGCTTTGAAGAATTATATTTTATTGATTCTTGAGCCATCAATAACCCTTAAAAGGGTGCTTTTACCAGAGTCTGGGATTTTCTTCCAAGCCTTTCATACTCATTCTTCAAGTTTTGTTGCATTACCGGTAGTGACAGCTTCATCTCTATGGTTTCCTGGTCCTACCACACTGTAAGATGTGACTGATTTCAGAGATATCAGAATGTAAAATGATGTGCCTCTTGGGACGGTGATCTCCTTTTGATCCAGATTTTAGGTGATCCAGATCACCTTTATAACATTGCTGCACCTTTATAACATTGCTGTTTTATGTGTTTTCTAATATAAATAAGAAAACATAAGCTTTATGAAAGTGGAAAAGTAGGAACCATTTTTATATTTTTCATATCTGAATCCTTAACACACCAAACGATAGTTGGCATCTAATCAGTGTTCAACAAAGAGTTGCTAAAAGCAAGTCTTCATTTCATATTACAGAAAACAAATTTTCAAAACATTGTTTACAGTTTGACATGTAATAGTATAATGCAAAAAATATTTTGCCACCATTTTTTAAATTCAAAAGTGCAGTTAAAAATGAATAGTATTTTTCCCAAATATTTTTCTGATGCTAATAGTAATCAAGTGTGGGGGACTTTTGGTTCCGGAAGAGGCATTATAAAATTGAAATAATGATGTATGCAAACTTTTAAACAAGGAGCCTGATTTTATCATAAACTGGGCAACATATTAAGAATATTATATAGATAGATCTTCATTTTAAGAAAAATTGGAAACATTATTTGGTACCTTTTAAAATTTTTATACTATGGAAATGTACAAATAGTATGAAAAGTTTTTTTAAATATATTTTGAAATTGTTTCAATAAGCAGAAAAGTGTTCCAGTTTTGAGGTGGGCAGGTATAAGATAATGTAAAGAAATAATTCAAGGGCTATTTATAGTCTGTCTAGTGAGGCCCGATGATTTGCAATTAGAACCAGGAAGGGGACACTGGAATTATAAATCGTAGGCTATTCTCTTTAAATAATCAGCTGACTGTGCTGTGGTGGCCAGAAAAAGCCAACAACATATAAGATGTCACCAGAAAAGTGTTTGGCAAAAATTGTAAAAATCTTACCTTCAAACAACAGTAGTTTGTTTAAATATGAAATACAGAAAGTTATTTTATATTAGCACTGGATAGATCTAGAATGTTCAAAATGAAGTCAGTTGTTAAATATGATTATAGCTATAATGTTCTTTGCAGAATTCAATAAACTATATTTTCAAAAGACTAAATACAGTAGTAAAATCATTTATGTAAACACTATAATTTCTGCCACTAAAATAATTACACAATGAACATTAACCACTAATACCTGTGCATTTCCATCATCAGTTTTCTCAGGGTCTTTTTTCACAAAACATGATTTTTGTTCCTTTATAAGTTGCTGCCTGTTCATAAAGAGAGAGAAGGAGCATTCATTTCTATTTCTGTTTATTTCCTCGCAGAGTGTAAAAATGTGTACTTTCCTGGATTCTCCAAACCCAGAGAGAATAAGGCCAGCAATCCATCAGAAATTATTTTGTGAGTTCAAATAAAGTAAATCATTTTATAAGGTTTCTAGAGAAGTTTATGTTTATTAGTCAAAGGCCTAGCAGCCTACAATCTTGGAGAATTCAATCATTAATATTTATCATTAAGTTTATAGCAAACAGTTCTGGAGAACTAGAACATATTTTGATACCTAAAGATCATTTTGTAAGACCTTAAAATTTATCTCTTAAAATTTCAATATTTTCACACCTTTCTTCTCCATCTTTGTTTCTCTTTAAATGAATCACTATAACCCCCACCCCCACCCCATGTGAATTCAATTCGTCTCTTGTCTTAGAAACTAACCCTCTCGGTAGGCCTGTAAGAAGGGAACAGATAAAGAGAGATGTAACAATGGTTAGTTATATAATACCTCCAACTGGGTATCTATAGACAGGAGGGGGAAAACTGAAACAGTATGCATCAGTTTGGGGATGAAGCTTGACCTGTCACCTCTGCCTAATGATTTAGAGCCTGGACTTGGCATGGTTGGCAAGGTAATGGAGGAGAGAGCCCTCCATCTGTTTTGAAAACACTCTAAAGAGTTTTTCCTCTGTATTTCTTTCTCTCTCTCTGTCTCTCTCTCTCTCTCTTTCTCTCTCTCTGTGTCTCTCTCTCTTTCTCTCTCTCTCTGTCTCTCTCTCTCTCTCTTTCTCTCTCTCTGATGTCCCTTTATCTGTTCTGGATTTTTTTTTTTGACACATCCCTGAAAGTGATAGGATAATGCACTTGAGAGCTCATGTTCCAGTTAATAGGCTACCAACAGGGCTAAGTATGTATTTTACGTCTTCCCTTTGCTACTGATTATGGTTTCCCTGTACAAAAAACAAAACAAAACAAAAAAACCTTTCCTGCTGTTATTCTTAGGTATTTAAAAAGATAAATGTATATCTTCTGTATATTTTGAATAACACCAGTAACTTCTTACCTTTAGTCTTAGATTTATTATTAGTGCATATAATACGTAAATGATACTTCTACCACAAATTCTGAGCCTGAGTTTAAGATGCTCATTTTCAACAGAGAAGTGAATTGAAGGCATTTTTAGAAACACTTTTCTCCTTAAAAATTTCCTAGAGAAAACTTACACACTAGAAAAAATTAGTACCATTACAAGTTCATGTTCTTATTTTGCCCAGCAATTCTCTGTATCCTATTCTCCATGGGAGCTCTAACATTCCGTTCCTTCCCTTCCCTTCCCTTTCCTTTCCCTTTTCCTTTTCTTTCTCCCTTCCTTTTTCTTTCCCTTCCCTTTCCCCTCCCTCTTCTTTCTTTTGGTGAACCATGGTGTTGCTACATTGGCTTGGCCTCCAGGTCCTGGGCTTAGGTGATTTTCCTCCCTCATTCTTCCACATAGCTCATGTCACTACTCCCAGCTGCAGGAGCTCTTAAACATCTTCCTCTCACCTACTTAAACATCTTCCCCACCTGTTCCTTCTCAGCAGATTATTCTGCCTCCCACTTTCTCTTCTCAAATTCTGTCTCCAGTCCCTAATTTACTGCCTTGCATATATGTCACAGATGCTTTATACATACATGATTTATAAAATTTATTTAAGAGTAGATACATGTATATATCTTTTTTTATTCCTCTTCCTGTCCTCTCCCTCCCTGTATCTCTAGATCCCATTCCCCCATTTTTTTAGAGAAGAGAAACCATAAGATGGAAACTTGCTCAAATTATTTCCACCAAGCCTTCAAACTTGCTTCATTTATACCCATTCCTTTCCTTCACTTTTTTCCACAGTAGAAAAGGTGATCATCATTGTGTCCCAGGCTCTCGATATCCCATCCTGCTTTTTAGGACTTTTGCTTTTTATCTATGGCTTCTTCACATTGACATTTGGGCATTTTCAAGTATTTTATTGGAAGAAAGATTAAACTTGCAGCAAGTTGTTCCTCATTCTGTTTCTTGCTTCCCTTTCATGGACAACGACTGATGAAAAGGTTTTCTCTCCCCAGCTTCTTACCTTGTGCTTCCTCTTTATTTTTCAATGAACTGCAGTATTTTATCTCAACTAAAAATACCAGTTTTAAAGATCATCAGCCACCACTTTGTTTCTCAGTCTGTTGGGTACTTCACAGGCATTACCTGACGTGATCCCTGTTCAACAGATGATAGGTTAACCACACTCTTTGGGTAAGTTTCTTTTCCTTGGACTTGGGGGATATCAGTGTTTTTTGGTGGCTTTTCTCTGGCCATTCTGCCTCAGTTTCTTAGAAGCTTCTTACTCATTTTGAAAAAAATAATACAAGTAACCAATAAATACATGAAAAAAATATTCAGCATCACTGGCCATTAGAGAAATGCAAAGTGAAACAACACTGATACTTCATTGTGCTCCAGAAAGAAAAGCTACCATCAAGAAATCAAATAAAAATGGCTGGTGAGGCTACAGTGGAAAAGGAACCCTACTACATTGCTGGTGGGAATGTAATTTAGTACAACCATTGTGGAAATAAGTACGCAGACTTCTCAAAAAACAAACAATAGAAATTCCATTTGACCCAGCTATTCTTCTTTAAGGTATCTTCCCAAAAGGGCTAAAGACATTACATTATGTGTACAGCAGGGTGCATAGCAATGTGTATAGCAACACAATTCATAGCTAAATCTTGGTAGCAGCCTATATGTCCAGCAACAGAAAATGGGTAAGGAAAATGTATCTATACATATTAGAACACTACTGTGCTATAAAGAAGGATAAATTTAAGTCATTTGTAGGAGAAAGGATGCACCTTGAAAACATGTCAAGTGAAAGAAATCTGCCACACAAGCTTAAATATGGTTTCTCTCATAGGAGAAATCTAAAGTATAACATACAGAGCAAAGTACAAGATTGATAAAAGTAAACAGGGAGATGGAAAGCGGACCAAGAGATGCAGGGTGGAGAAGGAAGGGGTGTAAAAGATTTAAAACGTATCATTTACATGTACCAACTACCCACAACGATTGTAAACATGGTGTCACAAACATGAACTAAAAAAATGGGGGAATGGGATCTAGAGATGCAGGGAGGGAGAGGACAGGAAGAGGAATAAAAAAAGATATATACATGTATCTACTCAAATAAATTTTATAAATCGTATATGTATAAAGCATCTGTGACATATATGCAAAGCAGTAAATTAGGGACTGGAGACAGAATTTGATGCAATATCTGGACTCTTCTCCAAAAAAGTGCACTTGCAGTCATCCAGTCAATGTTGAGCATACGTTATCAAGCATCACAGAATGTCCAATACTTGATTACCACGCAATTAAGAAATTTTGCTTCAAACCGGGCGTGGTCACACATACCTAAAATCCCAGCGTTTGGGAGGCTGAGGCAGGAGGTAGTGTGCAAGTTTGAGCCAGGTTGAGCTCTGTACATTGAGTTCAAGGCCAGCCTGAATTACGTAGCAAGATGCTGTCTCAAAAAAAACCAAAAGAAACTGCTTCAGGGCCTCTGAACTGTTTTGTTAGATTTTATAGGAACATTGACCAAAAAAAAATTGCCTCAGATAGCTTCAGTATAAAGAAGAAAATCCATGGAAAGTGAAAATGAAGACTTTTTCCTGGAAGCAAGATTTGGCAACCTTGCAAACTTGCTTCAAGATATTAAAGACTGGGCTGGGGTGTAGCTCAGCGGTAGGGCAATAGCCTAGTGTGTGCAAAGCCCTCAGTTTGCCCTCCAGCACCACTAAATAAATGGTAAAAAAAAAATTAAGATTGAGACTACTAAACCAATTCTCAAGGTTAAGATTCAGGAAAGAGAGATAACCTATCATTGAAAATGAGAAAATGGGTGTGATAGAGCTGATATATTTACTTTGTGATTAGACTTGAATAGGGTTCTAGCTTCTACTAGGTTTCACAGGATATTATCTTCAGAGAATGGGGCTTCTTTGGAGAAGGAGGTTGAATAATTTTTCACTTGGTAAAGTTATTTCTAGGGAGAGCAGAAGTATCTTGGTGTTGATATATCACGATCACAAGTAATAAAGCATTTGCTTTCTGGACATTTTCTCTTTATACAATCCAGGCTTTAATCCCTGAAAAATGAGTGGGTGTTAAGAGCCAGCTCTATCTTGTAGAACATGTTTTTAAAGAATCTTCTAGTTAGAGATGCCATAATAGTGTTCCTTTGGTAACTGGGAACACTAGGGGAGACAATGGTGAAATTCATGTTTCTTTTAGTGTTGTTTCACAGGAGATAAACGTTTCCCAGGGTTTTTTTCTTTTCTTTTTGTTTTTTTTTTCATACAGTGAATACATATTGGGTCCCTACTTTGGGCTCAAGGCTAGGCATATAACTGATGAACAAAAATAGATAAAACCCTTGCTTATAAAGCTAATGGCTTAGTATAAGGAATCACCAGTAACCAGATAATCACAAACAATAAAAATGCAAATGTAGTGAGTACTACACATAGAAGAATTAGGTTCTATGGTCATCTATAATAAGAGAACTTTATTGTGTTAGGTACCCCAGGAAGTCTTCAAAATGATGCTCTACATCTGAGCTACCTTCCTAACCCTCATATTTTGTGTTACAGTTGGGGAGGTGAAGTATGTAATTACAACTTGAACATCAGGCTGTAACAGTATGGCTAAGACGGATCCAGGCATCCCATCCAGAGCTGGCAACATTTGATCTACATGGTTAGAAAACTCCAGGGAGCCTCCTATGACCAAACTCTGATCATGTACCCACTTCTAAACAAAGCAATGTGTGGCTTCACTCTCTTTCCAAACTTCAGGTTGGCAGGTGTGTCTACTTTGCTCACTCATATAATTACACTGTGGTAGGACTATTCTAGTGGGCAAGGCCCAGGTATCCTGCTCATCCTGTTTTGTTGAGAATACTAAATTTTGTGGTAAAATATTTATTAGAATCACCATTGAGGTAACAAATCAAAGGCATGTCTTTTGAGCCTGGCTATCAGCTCTAGTTCTAAGCTGATTATTGTCTGGTTCCTATTTTTGTGAAGTTGTTCTGATGTCTCCATATTTTGGGAGAAGAATGATTTTTGTTGTCCTCCT